CGACCGAGTGAGACCCCAACTCCAAAAAAAAAAAAAAAAAAGTACTTACCTTAAAAGACTGTAGTGAAAATTAAGGGAGCTAATATACAAAACATGCTTGGAACTATACCCAACAACTGTTGGCTATACTATTATTACTATTTATTTATTTATTTATTTATTTTTGAGTTGGAGTCTCACACCATCGGCCAGGCTGGAGTGCGGTGGCATGCTCATGGCCACACCAGCATTGACTCGCGGGTCTCCAGTGATCCTTCCACCTCAGCCTTCCAAGTAGTTGGAACTACAGGCGCGCACTACCACGCCTGGCTAATGTAGAGACGAGGTCTGCCAAGTTGCCTGGGCTGATCTTGAACCCACGGACTCAGGCAATCCACTTGCCTTGGCCTCTCAAAGTGCTGGGATTATAGACTGAGCCACCAAGCTGGGCCTATTATTATTTTTTAAATTCATTTTTGCCCAGGCTGGAGTACAGTGCTATGATCATAGCTTACTGCAGCCTCCAACTCCTGGACTCAAGGGATCATCCTGCCTCAGTCTCCTGGGTGCTAGGAATATAGGTACACACCACCATACCCAGCTAATTTTATATTTTTTGAAGAGACATGTTGCCTGGGTTGTGCTATTATTATTGTTGTTGTTGTTGTTGTTATTAAAGCTTGCCCAAAGTCCTACACCTAATATGTGGCAAGGTCTGGATTTGAACCCTTTTGTTCTCCTAATTCTTGAGTCTTCGAACTGATTTTCTACACAGCCATTAGAAGATGCCTTGAGCCCAAGAGTTCGAGGGTGCAGTAAGCTATGATTGTACCACTGCACTCCAGCCTGGACGAAAACAAATAAATAAAATGTTTTTAAAAAGTAGCCAACAGTTGTTGGTCATAGTTCTAAGCACTTTCTATGTATTAGCTCCCTTAATTTTCCATTCTTTCTAGAATGGAAAAGTGATTATATTACTCTCCTGCTTAAAATCCTTCAATGACTTCCACTGTCTTAAGATAAAAATGTAAGTTCCTTACATGTCTTGCTAGATGCTCTGTGGCCTGGGATTGCCTCTCTTCACACTTCCCTCCCCACTTCCCTCTACTTCCAGTTACACTGGCTTTTTGTCCCTTTCTACCTTAGGACCTTCGCATATGCTCTCTAATGCTTAAAATATTCTTCTCCCTTCACCTAACTAACACTTATTTTTTCTTAAGCATATCTTGAATGTTACTTCTTCAGGAAACCTCATTATGTTAGCTTCTTATGTTATATATTTAGGAGAAGTAAGTGGTATTTAACTACTGTTTCATAACATACATTCCTTGCCCCTGTAATTACTTGACTATTATTCGTCTTTCCTGTAAGGTAAGAACTTTTTCTGTCTTCACTAGTGGTCTAACCTAAGACCTTGCTGAGTCCCTGACACATAGTAGGCACTGAATAAATATTTGTTGATTTGGATTGAATCCTAACAGGCATGGACATGATTCCTAGAACAGCAGAATGAATGATGTGCTGCTTTTTGCCTCTTTCCTGCCTCTTTGCTCCAAATAGCTCAGAACATAAAGAGCTGTTTGTTTTTAGCAACTTGCTTCTTTGCATTGATTGAGGTTTTCAGACTGTCATATTGTTAGGCATGCTCATTGCTCAGCTTTTTAGAAATGAAATTCTTTTCTTCTGATTTTCATTTCATCTTGATCCATTTATCCTCGGGGAGTGGGGGTAGAGATGATGGCTGTGACCTTGAGATGGAATTGGGCTAGACAGCAGCTTGCCAACTTTTGTTCTTTAAATGGTTTGTAATGCTGCTTTGGCAGCTCACCCAGAAGGAAAGGAGAGGATGTGGCCTCTCTTGCAGGTCCCCTGCTTGACCCTTGCTGAGCAGCTGCTTGAGGAGATGGAAATCTCACTCATCTGGGAGCGACTTCCAAGCCTGAAGTTGAAGCAAGCAGAGAGTGTCCTGCAGAGAGTAGAACATCACTGGCTATGAGGCTACTCTTTCCTTTTTAAAAAATCTACTTACATTTTAAAAATTGAGAAATAACTGATATAAAGTGAGCTTCCCCAGCACCCCAGCAGGCTCCCTTGTGCCATTTTCTAGGCAGTATCTCCCAAAATAGCACTGTTTTGTCATGTTAGGTTAACTCTTGAAATTTAATTCTTTCATTTATTTCCTTCTGTTTTTGCTCTCTGATCATCCAAACAACGTTTATTCCAGAAAATCTGGAAAATACAGAAAAGTGAAGCTACTAAAAAATTATCTGTACTCTTACCACTCAAAGGCCTGTTTTACATCTTGAAAAATCACTACCTCTTGTGAACCTTACCCTAGCTCCCCTTTTCTCCCTTTGTCCCTGTGATATTCAACATATACCTGTTGTTGCTTTTGTCTTACTGTAGTGCAGATGTTTATGTACTTACCTATCTAAGACACTCTTGGAAGTGTTTTGAAAGCATAGACTAGCCGGCCCCGGTGACTCAGCCTGTAATCCCGTGCTTTGGGAGGCTAAGGTGAGTGGATTGCCTGAGCCTGTGGGTTCGAGACCCGCCTGGGCAACTTGGTGAGCCCTCATCTCTACAATAAATCAAAAAAATTAGCTGGGCGTGGTAGCACGCACCTGTAGTTCCAGCTACTTAGAAGGCTGAGGCAGAAGGATTGCTGCAGCCCAGCAGGTTGAGGTTGTGGTGGCCGGGAACGTGCCACTGCACTCCAGTCTGGGTGACAGAGTGAGACTCCATCTCAAAAAAAAAAAAAAGAAAAGGAAAAAAAAAAAAAAAAGAAAGCATAGACTTCATGTTGCCTATCAGAGTGCCTAGAACAGAACAGTAAATGTTTGTTGAAAACAAACAAACAAATCAGTGAAATCTTGCTGAAATATTAAAGAATAAAAACCATGATTAGTGGCAGGAATGGACAATTCCCAGTCAGTCTTATCTGTAGTCAGTTTAATCTTATCTGTAAGATGCCAAAAAGGAAAAATAGTATTTTAGAGTGTTTCACTTTTCTGAAAGCTTTGACATCATTATTTTATTTGATTTTTCATAAGAAGTCTATGATTGTGTCCTAATTTTTTAATATTAGGAAGTTATTTCTATATTTGAATTAGAAGAAAAGGAGATAAGAAATTGTGTTGAGCCGGGCTCGGTGGCTCAGCCTGTAATCCCGCGCCTTTGAGAGGCTGAGGTGAGTGGATTGCCTCAGCCCGTGGGTTCGAGACCTGCCTGGGCAGGCGAGACCTCATCTCTACAATAAATCAAAAAATCAGCCAGGCGTGGTAGCGCATGCCTATAATTC